GACATACGCCAGTAATTCCCGTAATACTTGTGAGCTATGTTTTAATAATTCATTTGGTATACCTTGTGGTCAATGTGGTCCGCATGACTTCCGATTTTTTAGAGTTCGTATTGCATTCTCGACTTCCTGTACTGTTATTTCATCGTCTTCACTGAATTCCAGTTCATATGTTGTTGTACTGATGTTCGTGAGTTGAGGCGATAAAATCACTTGCCCTTAAATTGGTAGTCTTTGTTTTACAATTGTATCTTGAGTTCGTTTAGAGGATTTAGAAAAGAAAGTAGCCATTCCACTTAAAGTTACAAAAAAATCTTTGCATTCTTTAACGTACATGACCGATTCGCATAAAAATAAGCTTTATTCCGAGAGACAGGATCATGCTGAAAGGGAAATAATATTTGAAATAAAAAAAGGTGAAATGTTTATGCATAATTCTTGATTTTAAGCGAATATTTGGTGAACATGTCAAATATCCAATAAGGACAATCACAGAATTGCGGCGCTGGCAAGAATTATGCCAAACATAAGAGGAGCTAGTGCAGGAAGAAGACGAATCCTCATGGAAGTTGTCCACTCAACAATTTTATACGCTGCACCAAGTACTATACAAATAAAAGATAAAAAAATAAATTAATAATGGAAAAACACAAAGAAAGCTTTTGTTAAGAGTAGTCTGCGCATATCGGACGGCTTCAACTGTAGCTCTACAGGTCATAACGGGAGTACCACCAATAAACCTGCAGGCAAAAGGAAGACGAGAACATACCGCAAAAGAAAGAAGGGAAACAATAAGATTGGAGGACTACATAAACGAGGGACTAATCCCCGGATGTGACGAGTAGGTAAATTGTAATTACAAGAACACGAACTACATCTGTACAGAATTCCAAACGGGTCATGGATCGTTCAGCTGTACTGTACGGACTGTGGAGTTCATGACAGAGCCAGCATTGTGTATTTGAATGTAATAGATTTAATGAAGATACAGCCTAAATGTAAGCAAAAGTAGGCATATTCTGAGCGAAACACCTAATGTTTTGAATGCAATAACAAAAATTATAAAAAAGTAAGATATTCTAGAAAGAGAAAGATAGCAAGGACAAATATAAACATACAGGTAAATAAAAAAGAGATACGGGAGGCTGAGCGCGCGATTGAAAAGTATAAATTTCTGTATTGTATGTTTTCGACAATGAATATGTCAAAATATTCCCAAACTGAGCGAGACAGTGTAGTTCGTCGTTATCTATATACATTTCATGGAGGTAATTAATAACCCACCTACTGATTACCTTCATGGTTTCTTGCCTCCATAATACATGGCACTGGCCACAATTTTTCAGGAACGCCATCTGTCGGCAAATCTAGTAACTATAATTTCTACAGATTTTCTCCAGATGACACACCAATTAAATTCAAAAATCGGAATTCATTAAAAAAACTGCGTAAAAGTAAAGATTTATTATATTTAACAGTTACAGATTGCTGTACAGAACAATATATTGAAACATAATATGTCACTTTACTAATGAATTCAAAATTAAATCAAAATTATAAAATAACAATTTGACATTTCATTTTTCAGATCTTACTTTTCTTGTAGAATTTTTCAAATTAAACGAACTTTCTTTTTCTTTTGTTGTGAAAACATAAACTAATTATTCTCATATCTAATATCTAAAGCATGAAATTGCATATCTTTATGCATATTCACAGCGAGAGCATATGATTTCACGATAATCCTTGAAGAATACCAGAAAAACTCATAGTATACTATAAATTTTTTATCCAAAGTAAATTATTGATTTAAAAAAGTTTTTGCCTACAATTTGAAAGCATAAACGTTAAATATAAAGTTATTGTATAATTATGGTTTATTCCTGAAAAGATATTTGACCAATTGAGACAGTTTCAGAATATTGTATGGCAAAAGAAAAATGTTGATACATAATAAAGATACAAAAATACATAATTTCCCATTAGTTCATATCAAATTAAGAAAACATGCTAAAATTTCAGTGCTTCAATGGAACAATATTTGTAATAAGGTAGGATGTGAGTACAAAGTAACTTGGAGATCATGTCTACCATATACATAAGTATATTATTGAGGAATAAAAATCCTGCTGAACATACAAAATTACAGAGATCTCAGAGTTGAAAGTTATGACTATATGATCGATGCAACGATAAGATTTACGGTTCACTAACTGATTTTATTCTCATGTAAGATGTTAATATATATGTCTATGCTCAAGAGTATATTTGTCTCTAGCTTGCTTATAGACATTTTCGCTCAAAAAAAAAACAATGGCCAAAAACTAAGGATTATTTAGAAGCAAAATTAAGAAATAATTCGAGGAAAACTCAGAGTAAATTAACAAATTATTGAGAATATGTGTTCGGGCATAAAAAATCAATAGAAGCAGCAGCAGAAATATTAGAAATAAAGAAAGAGACGGAAAAAAGAAAATCAACACATTTTAGGAATACAATATAGAAAAAATATACTGTAGAAATCAAAATACAAGGTTAACTTAATAGCGAGCTGTACAAAATAATAAATAAAATTTTAAAATATGTTCATATTTTATTCAAAAAAGAAAGATTCAAAATCTAATGTGGACACCTAACTGGAAAATTAATATATTACATGTTACTACTCATATAATGGTAAGCAAAAAATATGTGTAGTTTCTTCATTCCATATACATTTTGGTAGCTTAGTGGTATTATTTATATGTCCATGGGTAACACCATATTATCTTGTTCTAATGTTTTCAGCAAAGAAAAAAATGTTATACAAATACATTTCCCGAATGCCATTGCGAAAAGTCCTGTATTGTGTGATTTATTGCATTGTTATCAACTAATACAGGCCAAATATTATTGAAACTCCTGTTTGTGAGCTAGATTTTGTGCTACATGTAGAACGTCACTAAGCCACCAGTTTACTAACCTACTCAGTTTTCTTATTGTACTTTTTCAAAACATAACATTAATATATATCTAAAATTGTGTTTATAACACTGAATATCAGTCAAACAAACCTAAAATTACTTTATAAGTTTTAAAAATAAATATAAAACCCTTTAAGTCATGTACAGTTGCGGTCACGGAATAGTTTACAGGTTCACGTATCTAGGAGCCCATTTTTTAAATTTTTACTTCGTTTAAAACGCACCTTTTACGTCAAAGTGACGTTGCCAGTGGTGTACTAGCTAGAATAGGTAGATTAAAATTAAAATATCAAAATATTTTACAAAATGAAAAATATAGAAAACAGTTTTTTGAATAAAATGGATTATGATCTTAATAACGAAAATAAAGAAGTCTTTTTTTTTAATATGCATTTTATTTTAAATCTATTTTATATTAAATAACGATAAACAATGATAAATAATAATTAATATTTGGTGGAAGCCCCATTCTTGTCAATACAATTTTGCAGTCTTCTGTTCATAGATAGCACCAATCCCCTCATGTTATAGTTAACAAGCTCTTCCCATGCCTACTCAATTGCTTCCCATAATTCAATTCTATTCCGTGGTCTAAGGTTTCTTTCATTTAGTTTCTTTGTTAACTCTGCCCACACATTTTCGACGGGGTTAAAGTCTGCACTACGGGAAGGCCACGGAAGAACATTAACATCAGTTTCTTCTAGCCATTCTCGAACAATTCTACTCGTATGCACCGGGCAATTGTCATGTTGGAAGATAAAGTCGTTGTTGGGGAATCTCTGGATCACCGATGGCAACATTGTGTGCTCAATAATATGTTTGTAATATAATCCTGTTAACTTCTCCTCTACATGATAACAAACGCCCGGGCCTTCGGCACTTATCCATCCCCATACGTTGACAGAGAATCCTTCACTATTTCTTAAATGATGCGTATACTGTTCATCATACCTATGATTTCTCGGCCTATAAACTCTTATTCGACCATTATTATACGACTGAAATACTTTTTCATCGGAAAATACAACCCTAGACCAAAAATTCTCATCGCGGTTTATAAATTCATTACAAAATTCAACTCGTCTCCTCTTGTGATCCTCAGTCAAAAAAGGTTTCCGTGCAGCTACACAATTTAGCAGTCCACTTGCTTTAATTCTTCGACGTGCAGTGCGAATACTGCCTGGAAACGCTGCCTCTTCTCTTGCCTTTTGAGCTGTGGCAAAAGGAGATTCTCTCAAATAATCTACTAACATCTCATCCTGTTGATCTGTGGAAATCTTCTGCCCTCCTGAACCGCCCAACCGTGCTATAGAGTGAAAATTATCCCATCTTTGTTTAATCTTCCATATGCACATATGACTCACGTTCAAATCAGCAGCAACTTGCCTTAGTGACCAACCTTCTTCGAGTTTGGCAATTGCTCTTGCTTTTTGCGCATAATTCAAATGTATTCTAACCATTTTGGAAGAGTTTAATATACTTTTATTTTATTGTTGAACACTCGCGAAAGCATTGACGTTTTGAAATTTTTTGACTTTGACATTTATCAAATCCGTACGACACTGCAATTTTACAGTATTACAATATAAAAAGTAAGGTGTAAACTATTCCGTGACCGCAACTGTACAACACATATTAGTGAACAAAAATATATTTTACAGAAAACTATTTTCATATAGGTGTAGGTATATGAAAAATCAAAAAATGATGAATATAATTTTGTGGCAACTGTTGCTTTCAGAATTTCAAGAATCTGTTTCTAGGTCTCTCTTTTGCAGTTACGTCATTTGGCCAAAAGAGGCCTTTTTATCACAAATTAGTATCAACCATTTTTTCATACTGTTTGATGTAAACAACAAGAGTAGTGTAGCCAGCTACCAGCTTCATCATCAGATACAACTGATTTAACAAATTATGAGAAAATAATAAACAAAGATCTACAAAGTTTAAGTAATCAAGCTAATATACTAGCTAATATAAAAAATCAAATTCAGAAAACTAATGCTTAGTTTAAAAAATAAATATAAAATAAATATTTTTATCATGTTTAATTGTTATTAACAGTGCTACTCTTAATGAGGCTTAGAAAGTCAAAGTTAGGCATCTCTAGAGGAGCTAGCTGAGGTAAATTCCTGCTTTCATTAACAATGTCTGGACTCAATTCACTGCATGGCGAGTAAATATATGGGGATGTGCCTCCTGAAGAATCAGTTACAACTTTTAAACTTGAGTTATTCTTAGTTTGTTGAGCTAAAACATTAAAAATAGGGCTTATATTATATATTTTGGTTTGCTTTTATATTTCTCTGATATCTCTTCTTAAAAGTACATTTTTCTATACTGAGCACCTTCTAATATAAAATTTTCAATAAAATAAATACCTAAATAATTCATACCTTTTTGTTTTTCTCCTTCAAGAACCCTAATTGTAGCTCTTAGTTTCTCGATCTCTCTATTTCTATCATCTAATTGTATAAGAAGACATTTGACAGAATCTCTAAGTTGTCCACTGAGTACTTTCAGTTCTTCAATGATCTGAGAATCATCTTTTGGATGTTTGTTACCAATTACTTGAGTTGTTTCTTTTTCTAGCTTCTCTTCGTTGTCACTGGTTGAGTATGATTTTATACTGTCGTTATCACTGCCACCTCTCTTGCCTGCAAATAAAAAGAGAAATTAAAATTATACATAATAATTTATTAATTTTCCAGGATTGCAATCATACATACTTGCAAATCAAATATTAAAGCTAACTGAAGGCAAATAAATACAAAATATTATATCCTTAACTTCACACAAGACAAGATCTGGTCTCCTGACACTGTTCAACCAAGAACAATTTTTCAGAGCTAGTAGCTAGTATTGAACAAGTTTGAAATTACACTTACCTAGATAGTCAATTAAAGAATCATGCACTTCAATAGTCCTGTATATAGCAGCTTCTAGACCTTCTCCATTCTCTGGATCATTACTAGGAACAGAAATCCTTCTTTTCTGTAATTGGGCTAACTTCTTATGATTCTCGATCTGTGATTGAGCTTTTTTCATCTGTACAAAATCGATTTGTTTTTTGTGATATTCTTTTTGAAGCTTTAATGATTCCAAAGACCTTGCATTTTCTGTTAAGGTTAAACTATCTTCTAAAAGTTGAATAGCTTGTTTATGGCATTCTATACAGTCTTCATACTTTTTTTGTCTCAGTAAGGCTTCGGCTCTTCTTTGTTGTTGATGTGCCTAAAAATTCCATAAGATTTAATTCTAGATAATAGAATATGTTTATGTTTGTAAACATATCGATTCCAAGTTCTGACCTATTTACCTTATTTTAAGGGAATACTCACTTTGTTTAGAGAAGAATTTTCCATTCTCATTTAGAAATTTTTAAAATTGTTTTTTAATACTTTGGTAAACAATGACTTTGTACAATAGATTATAAACAATCTATAACATTATTAAAACACTATAATTTTGTTGTGAAGGTTATGATGAATAATTATTATGCACTCTTTCTCTTTCCACAACTGTGCTGATGACGAAACACAAAACTCACATTCAATATTGATTTGACAACGACAACAGACAGTTAATTCGTTTCATGTTTTGTTTTTCATTGAAAATGTCAGAAACTGAAAAGGTCTACAGGAAATTTAAAGTGACAGCAATATTCCTAAACTTAGTAGATAGATAAAGATGCCAAAAATTTCCAAAACGTACTAGATCTAACATACAGTACTTGTTCCATCTAGCGGAGGATGGTCAAAAGTAGATATTACAGTGTCCTTTCTTTTATAACAGTTTTCTGTTAGAGGAAAATTATCTAGGAATATTATATACAATAAATTCCTTGGATAAATTGAAAAAATATAAATAAAATATATTGCTCCTTAAGAACTGGTCACCAAATTTTGTGAAATTAAATGAAGTTAAATATATATTTAAATTTTTAAAACTTGTAAATATTTAAATTTGTAAAAAAAGTCTAAAAACGCTTCTAAAGCCCCTATGATAAAATCAATCCAGTACTTATAGCAAAGAATATAGACGCACAGTATTGTTAGGTTAATCTGTACAAACCTGAGAAAAGAATAACAATAAATTTTCCGAAGATTCGTTATTCGAAGAACATAAAGACTCGTCAGCATTTTGAAGTAATGGTATGGAGACTTTAGAAGATAAAGATGTGTAAATGTACCGGTAAACTATTACCACTTGAAATGATAGATTCTTCAAATTATGTTCTTAACTTTAGCAAAGATTGTTTGACTCGGTTAGAAAAATTACGGTGGGCGAGACAATCATCAAGGAAACCAGTAAGTTTATATCTTCGCCAAAGCTTTAGGTTATGTCGAATTAAATAGGTAGCTGAGATGTTAGTCGATTTCTGTATAGCTGCCATTCGGTTGTATGATCAGAAATTGTTGTAATAGCAGTATGAAGAAAATCCGATTGCCGATGAATCATAGTTATTAAGAAAAATAGATTGTCAATTTAACTGGGATAAAACTGAATTACATTAAAGAAATCAGTTGTGGTATACCTACGTTACGAAATTATTTTTGCAAGGCGGTGTTAAACTAAATTGAATGTGAGCGATAACAAGCGAGTGATCAGAAAGACCCACAAGAGGGGTACTTCAAGTGTAGAAATTAAAAAAGTCTAAAATTGAAGGATTATTGTTGGCTCTAAACCTTGTAGGTTCAGTTATCAGTTGTAATAAATTTGATTTCATGAAGTTTTTAAACAAATTTTTTGAATCGGTAGTATCAGTTTTGGAAATATTGGACCAGCTAATCTCTGGAAAATTGAAGTATTCAACAAAAGTGCAATTTTCAAGGGATGATAATTCCTTAAGTTTGCCAATAAGCATATTGTCCTTAGTAAGTACAGTATCCGTAGGTCGGTATATGCAAACTATATTAGATATGAAAGAGTTTTTAGTAATAAGTAAGTGGATAATTTCTATACCGGGTACGTCTATTGTTTTATTACTGATGGAAAAAGTATTGGTAATTTCATTTGCTAAATAGATGCATACTCCTCTTCCTCGACGAGTAGGAGGTACCTTTACCTATCTCTACGAAATATAGTAGAATTATCAATGTTTACAATAGCATCGGGGATAGAAGAATTAAGCTACTTTTCTATTAGGAGAATAATATGAAGTTTTAAAAGTTGAACAGTAAATTCAATAAATTTGGACATAAGAGAGTTTAGATTCGTGTATATAAGACGCCAATCTGTAAATTTTAGTACAGAAGAATCATGAACGAAATTTCATTATTTTTGGAAAGCCATTTACATATTTAATCGTAGCTAATGGCATTTTCTTCATTATTTTTATAATGAATACTGAAGAAGTTGCTGCATAGGTTTTTTGTCATCAATAACAGAATAAAGTTTTAGTAGATTTGTTTTCCAAAAGTTTATTTTTGTTACGAAGAATTTTTCGAGTGGGTGTTCAGAACTCATTATCACTTTTATCATGCAGGGATAACGTTTATTTTGATTTGGTTTACCTACTCTATAAAATGTAACAGGACTGACATCCAATAACTTTTAGGGCTAAATTTATTTTATTCTTATCATGATCTTTTTTTATTTTGTACTTTTCAGGGACATTTCAGCAGGATCCAAACCGTCGAGAAGAGAATTTAGTATACAAGGGAGAGGTTGAGTAGCTCTAGTGAACTGAGAATGATGAATGAAATTATTTGGTTGAATAAGTAGTTGGTAAACTGGATTTTGTGGATTGGCTGATAAGCTAGTTGCATATGACAAAAGAAGATGTTGTCTCCTTAACCAGAGTGGCGATTCGTTAGCTTCACAGCACGTGCTTTGAGCTGGGCTAGATCTGAAGGCGCCTAAGCAGATTCTAAGATCCGTATTGTGTACGGATCCAAGAGCTTTCAGATGTGACTTGGAGGTAGACAATGTAGACATAATAGACAAAACTACCATGATCTATTTCGGAGCGAATAATGGATCTGTAAAATGTAAGCAATACCTCTTCGTCAGCTCCCCTAAGACTTTATGATGATCAATAACCTCTAATAATACTCCGTTGTATATCAAAGTTGGATTATCTTTTGTCGTTTTTCTGCTAAATTTCATGATTTTAGTGTTTTGAGATGAGAAGGAAAGCTCAATATGTCTCGACCATCTTTCTATATTATCAATAGCTGTTTGCATTAGTCGACAGGTTGTTTCGATATTCTTTCCCCTGCAAAAGAGCATAAGGTCATTAGCACATAATGCGTATTTAACTGGGAGATGAATAGTTTTGCCTACATCATTAACTGCCAGATTGAACAAAGTGGTGCTTATAACAGAACCTTGATATGTTGACTTTATATGAACCTTCATTATGTTAAATAGGAGTGGATGAGAGCTTTTCGTTTAAAATAACGGAAATTGAAAGTTCCATCACTCAAAAAATTCTGCACAAAGTAGTATATTTTCACCAAGTCCACATTGTTGAAGATTTTGGAGTAAAACAGATTTTTTGAACAATGTTAAAAGCTCCTTCTACATATAAAAAGGCTGCTAATAAATCTTGTTTACATGCCATAGAGTCAGAAATATGTGATTGTAAAATTACCAAATTATCTGATGTAGAACAATGAGATCTAAAACCGGATAGAAGAGCCTTTAAATGTCGAAATAAACGTATTTTAAACCGAAATTATGGTCAATTTTCATTAAAGATAGTAAATCTATTTGCTTATTTAAAAAAATCGTATACCGTGTCCTAACACAGGCTTTAGACCTCTACAAAACTTGCATGCAGTTAAGAGGTACTAAAACCTCTTTCACGTCGTGTTTACTCTTCCAATTATTATCCTAAGAAAAAAGTCAAAACGCGTAACAAAAGAGATTAATCTCGCTACTCACTTTTGACATTCGTCTTTTGTTGAGCGTTAATGTATTAACACAAAAACGCTTTTCTTCTGCCATCGTCCGTTATAATCGTGTACATAACAAATGAATATCGCGGACCAGCGGATGACTGATGCTCTTTTACCTGTTAACGGGTTAATGGGATACCGAAACGTCTTCATATTATCGGTAAGTAATGATGATTATGTATATTTATCAAGAGATTACTAAATTAGTGCAGAAGAAAATTAAAATTCTAATGATTCGATTTTTTAAATTATTTATTTTCGTTATAACGTTTCCCAAAAGAACTATTTTTATTGACTTTTGATTTGTTTGTGACTTTCTCATTGTATCTTTCGCCTTTGTGTTATGTATTTAGTTTCAAATACATGCTTTTTCTTTTCAATTGTTTATTTTTAAAGTGAAAGTCGTTGTTGCTTACGGAAGGAAGGGTAATATCGCGCGGCTAAGCAGAAACACCCAAGAAATTTATATTTTTCACAAAAAACAGTTGACAAATTGGTAAACTCTGCACAGATTTGTTTGGTTTAGAATTTTATAAGAATAAAAGAAAAAAATTAAATATATACATATTAGTAAAACATTGCGAATAATAATTGCAAACAGGTGTTATCATGGTCTATCAAACTACTTAGCTAACAAACGTCTATCTCAAAAAACTCGTATAAGGCTGTATAGAATACTGATAGTCCCCGTTCTCACATATGGATCAATGGCATGGACGCTAACGAAAATAGATGAATCCGCTCTATCCATTTTTGAAAGAAAGGTGCTACGCAAGATATTCGGAGCGGTCTGTGAGAACGGAATATGGAGGCGTAGATATAACTTTGAACTGCAGAATATCTACAAGCATACGTTTGGTGGTAAAGATATTACCACTATAATTAAGCGAAACCGCCTGCAGTGGGCAGGACATGTAGCCCGGGCCCCTGAATCGAACATGATAAAAAAGATTCTAACAGCGCAACCCGTGGGAATGAGAAGACGGGGTAGACCAAAGCTGAGGTGGATGGATGGGGTAACACAAGATGCGGAGAAGATTGGAGTCGGCAACTGGAAAATGCAAGCAAGGGACAGAACAGAATGGCGTAGAAAGCTTAAGAAAGTCGAGGCCCTCTAAGGGCTGTAGCACCAAGATGATGATGATGGTGAGTAAAACATTACGCAAAACGTGCTTTTCGGGGTACTGCCCCACCCAATGGGGTAATATTCTTAACTAGTGAAACAATATCGTGCACCTTATTTGAGCTGGAAAAGAAACAAAAAATAAAGAAATTTTTTATAAACTTAGAAACAATCTTACACATTATCAAATATCAGGTATTTAATATTGTATTAAAATAAACGTCGTTTTGATACCTTTGCTTTCTTAATATTTTCTTTGCTGATGTAAGTCGATAAAACCTCACCAGCTACAGGGGGTCATATAAGATGAACCCATTTTCATTTTTTATTAATACACAATTTAAGAGTCTATTGCATTTACCTTAATAAATACCATGAAGATTACTTTTTAAATCCGGATGTCCATCCAATGTTTGTTATGTGGCCATACAATGTTTTTTTCAACAACTTTTTATTAAACTGATGATGAAATGATACAATTCCGAAAAGATCTTTAAAAT